TTGGATATTTTGAAATGTGTGAGTACTATCCCACGCAATGACACTCACTCAGCGATTCCGAAGTTTTCGAAGTAAAGTAAAATATAACATGATGACATCTTCTTATTACTAACGAACTTAAACTTTCGCTACAAGTCATTAGCGTCATCTTTTGCATATCGTCCAAAAACATAAGGCAATGACGGAACCACGACCCAATACACAAAATTATTAGTTACTAGCTGTGCCCGCGACTTCGTCCGCGTGGAATTTAAAAAGAAATCTAAAATAAGAGTAGCCTAAGTTACTCCTTATTACATCAGCTATCTGTCAGTGAAAGTCCCGTCCAAATCGGTCCAGCCGTTTCAGAGATTAGCCGGAACAAACAGACAGACAAAAATTGTAAAAAAAAAATTATTTTTGTATATGTACCGTGTATACATACATTTAGTATAAAGTGGTTATTTTAATATTACAAACAGACACTCCAATTTTATTTATCTGTATGTATAGATGTACAGAATGCTACACTAAGTTACAATGCAAAGCGGAAAGAAAACGAAAGCTACTTTCTCATCTATAAAGAACAAAGCCTTAACTTAACAAAACTTCGCATAAGACTAGAATTTAATAAGGTAGAAATTTCTAATAGGAACAAAAACTAGTAATACGTCAGCTAGTTCTTAGACAACAAATATTACTAATAGACATCATGTGACGGCTGAGTTGAGCAACTAGTTTATAGTTTACCAGCTTTTACCCTTATGGCTTATTAGTGGAGTGATCGTTTGCCATAGAGATATTACTTTCCGCTTGTTAAGCTGGAGTTTGATTAAAAAACAAAGCCAGTAGAAAGTTATTTGCAAGGTCTTCAAAATTTTCGCTTAGCGGGAATCGTCACTACAGAAGCCTATTCTATACCAATTGATTGAATTATGTTTTGAACATCGAATCAAGTTTTTTTCGAATCAATCAAAGCCGGTGTATCTCCCTCCAAATGAACAAAGATCAGGATATCGTAAATAACAATATTAGTTTCGGAAACGTAACAGTTATTACACTTCAACTGTGTGTTCAAATCCGTTGCCCCGCGAGAAAGAGAGGCCAAACTTCCATACACTTCGGTTTAGCTACTACAAATTAGGGCAATTCCGATCTTCTTTACGTCGACTTGAAAGGGCGGCTGGCGCACGTGACGCGACCTGCGTAGAGCCGCGTGCGCCACACCAACCGCGAAGGGCTCGTCGAAACTAATGTAGGTTAGCGTTTTAATGTTTCGTAACGTCTAGACGATATGATTTAGAACAATTTCAACTGATACTAAATGCATCTGAGGTGGTTTGGGGGTTGATGATAAAGCAATAAGTGTCTGAGTAAATGATCGTTGCAGATGTCGTCTGCAATAATTGACAGGTCTGCAATAATATACAGCGATATGGCGATAATAGACTGAGTCGAAAGCAGAGCTAAGAGATCTAAGCAATTTATATGCCTGATTGAGGTCTGTGTTGAGTGGATGGATTTTTGAGAAGCGTGGCGATGTCTTGAGGCCTATTGATTTGTTTTTCATAGATATAATACTCATGCTATGACAACACTTCTTAACCGTCAAGCGGGACTAATACTTGATTTGCTTACTTTAATCGTCTTAAGCTGAAAAATGGGCACATTACATACAAAACCTCACTGTCTTGTCAGAAACCTGATGAAAGGAGAAGCTGCTAACACGCCCCTAGGATTTGAAACCCCGACAACAGATTGGAAGTGTGACGTCTAAGAACATGTGGTACGACATCTTTGCTTGTAGAATACGGATGGTGTTTAGATCGCCGTGCGTAGCAATCAATTTCAAACTATAATGAGCTACATATTAAGAGAAATTGAAACTGTTAAGGCACACGCGACTGAGATAATCTCGAATGTTCACATCATTTATGCCTTAGTACCTTTCCGGTTCTCATACTACTTTCACTATTCATATGTAACTTAGTGACCGTGTGCCTAGAAGGTTTTAGCTCTCACCTGTCGAGTTTGGGTTTGCTTCTCCAACAAGGCGAAAGTCATCCAAGCGAGGAAGTCAAAGTTATAGCTAAGTAGGAACTTGAAATTTAAATAAAATTCTCTTCTTTACTTTGAACCAGGGTTTCTTGGAATCAACAAAGTTGAAGCCGCAATATCTCCGTCCAGACAGACTAGAAAGTACCAGGATACACAACTAGGATGTGTAACGACGTTAATTGATTACAATTCGCCGTAAAGTCAACCTAGGTCAACGTAATGTTGGTTGCCCGTCTCTATCAATCGTAACACAAAGCCTTACACGATACGCGAGGCACATTTTAACTCCATCTTGTTAACTCGGCTTCCGTACTTGATATTCGTACATTATTGCACAACAATTTTACAACAAAAATATACATGTAGAGCTAGCTGTTCATTTAAAAATAAACCGGTTTCATATATTGGAATTTCCTTTACGGTTTATTGCACTAATTCTGAAGGCGTAAAACTAAAGACAATTTTTTTATAATATTGTTCACGTCATCACGGACTTTTAAATAAATTACATGTCACACAGTAATCAGAAAATCAAATTTATTTGTCTGTATAAAAAGCAATTAAAATCCTAAAATAGAAATAAACAGAAGTAATAAAAATTATAATTATGTTTTTGCGCCTTTTTTATTATGGAAAATCAACTGACTGAATTTAAGAATGTTATTAAATAAAAAATAACAAAGGTAAGGAGTATTGGAGGGAAGGAAAATATTTAACCATTATAAATAGGTACGTAACATATTGCATACGTAACGACTGCATATTGATAAAAATTACATTATATTTAAATAATTAAGTGCTAATTTATATATAAACGTCAGTGACGAAACAGTTCGTTCATATTTGGCAGATAATTATCGAATCAATGTAATATAAATATCCGAAGTAATTATCCAACGGATTACGTTTGACCAATCAGTTCGCGTCCATTAGTGAACGTAAACATTGCATAACGTACGAGTTGTGTTTCAATAACGAAACATCCCACTGCGTTTAAATTTTACCGAGCGTACGTATGTACGTAACGTACTATTTGGCAAACAAAGATCAAAGCCACTTCTAGATATGGATTGTCTCATAATAAGTGGTGTTTCAGATAGAATTGCCATTTAAAATGTTTTCCAAATGACTCACTATAATTTATGCATTTTATTGCAGTTTCCATTATGAAACGTTTCACAACTTAAATCGTATAGACAAACTGCGTTTGCCTTCGAATGTCGTTTAAATTTCGAGCGGAAATCAAGTCGGCAGTCGAAGGGAAACGAGCGCAGCACTAGCGGAGGGGGTGCGACTGCGACGCGGTGTTTGTGTGACATTGCGCCGTCGTGTCGCAGTTTGGTTTGTAAACAGAAGGACGTTCGTCGGCGTGGGACCCTCGCTAATGTTTACGGTGCCCCCCCCCCCCCCCCGCAACTCCCGCGCGGCCCGCCGCCGCCATGCCGCGAGTCACGTACGCAGAGCAGAGTTCGCGCATGCGCGTTCCCGCCTCGTTTTGGCGCTACGCCCGCCGCCCGACGCGGTTGCGACGCGCCACAGATAACGCACACCCGTCACCCGGATCGATACGCGCCATTTTACTTTTTCGCAACGCGTTCGCGGCGTAGATGGCGCTAACGGATTATTTATTATCTACACAAGTATTTTTATTAGGCGTTGGGCTTGGGCATTTTTAGCCTTGGGTTTATGTTTTAAGCAGTATCGAAGTAGAGTTTTCCGGACGTTTTTTATTATCCTAGATATGGAATAAAAGTACACAAGCATAAAATTATAACTTTGGTTTGAACACGTACAATTCTACTTATTAAACAAAGCAATAAATAGTTTTTTATAGATAAGGATATTTATTCTCTATCACTCCAATAATTTATCCATTTCAAATTACACAACTAAAAACAAAAAAAAACTTACAAAAGCTATTGTTTTATATTAGAAACTTTAATCGTACTCAAACAATATAAGTAGTTAACGGTAAGTTATACCTGCATGGTTAGTTTATTAAATTATTGACTATAGAAATAAGAATTTATCCTAAAAACGTGTTACAGTGCCGTGCAAGATTGCAACTAAGTAATAATACCATAAAGGTAACACGATGAACGTATGCAAACTCTTCGGTGTTACTTCATATAACTATTTACGATGTTCCTCATCGCCTTCCATAATTAAATCTAATCCGACTCTTGCAGAATCCCACTGTAGTTTTAAACTATCTACTAAGGGTCTTATCTTGTTCCACCATAAATCAATGGCGCGGTGACGCCGTCGGTTAAATGCATTGATTATCCGAACCGCTGGTACCAAAAAGTGGTACTTTTTTTTTTTTTTAAGTACTTTAGGATAACATTATCCTGTGTTGTAAGAACGTTTTACAAACATAAATTTCACGCAGACAAACACCCAGATACGAAACAACTATATTGTGGGTCACACAAATAGTTCTCCCGTGTGGGGATCGAACCCACGACCCCCGACGCCGGAGCCAATACCTTGACAACTGCGCCACGGAGCCATCACTTTTAACGTGGCAGAGCGACAAAAACTTAAATAACGATACACGTGTAAACCAGCTCGTTTGGGGAAGGACCATTGTTTCAAGGAAGATTAAAATAGTATACTTTGTGAGGTAACCGGATAAATTATCTCCATGGGTCCTCACTAAGAATCGCTTCACAGTTCATCTTTGAGGAAGAAAAGAGTTAAGTATGTATATTTACACTTATGTATACTCTAATATGTTAGCGAATGCGACGGCGCAGTTGTTAAGATATTAGCATCGGCGACGGGGGTTGTGGGTTCGAATCCTACACGGGACAAGTAGTGGATCTGGGTGTTCATTCGCAGGGAGGGTGGACGTCAGGTAGTACAAAGAAACCTACTCAAGACTATTTAGCAACATGATTCACATGTGCCGACCCCATAAATGTGGGATAAAGAAGTATATACATATAATATGGTTTTACCTTCGTCCTTCCGTTTATGATGTAGTCACCCATCTTTCCGTTGTTTGCCATTTTGTTCGCCTTCAGAATAATGTTGTCCACCTGGAAAAAATTGTGATTGGTTTACATTTAGACATAGGAAACAAACGTCACTGAGCCAGTGTTCTATTTATAGTTAAATACAAAAACAATCTTTTGTTAAATGATTGTTTAATTTGAAATTAAATAGCGCTGGTATAATTTTAAAACATAGATGAGGGAATTTTTTTTGAGCGCCAATTGTGTGGCATTTATTGGCGCTTTGACGTAATGTTCGTGTACTATGTAATAATACGACCGCAAGAGTGTACGAATGCTGTTTGCTATTTCAACGGCGAAGGACTTTCAACGGCCATTTCCGATTCTCGTGTAAATATTTATTTAGTAGGTTATGATAAGCCACGAATTCGGTAATGATTACGGACAGATAGCCCGCAAATAATCTCAAAGTGAGATTACACACAGAACAATTTAGTCTATTTAAAGACTAGATGGCATTCGACCGGAGAGTACATTTCAAATGTTGTCAATGAAGCGGGTGGTTCGCCTGACGTTAATTGAATACCGCCGTACACGGAAATCTGCAATACCAGAGTGGACAAAGCCCGATGGCTTGCAGACGCGTTGGCAGTTTAAAAAGTGGCCCCCGGTTACCTCACTCACCAGACGAAACGCGAAAGTTTAACAATTCCAATTCACGCCGGTCCTCTGCGAGGCCGTGGTATCTCCCCGGACGCGCCTACCATTCGTGCAACAGAAGACGCTGTTGCGTGCATCTACCACAGTAAAACGATAGGTTAAACTGTCAGTTAAAATGTTAGGTCACGTAACCGTACATTTCTGACTGTTAACACCACAAGCGTGCGTGGCCCCAATTCAGAAATCGCTTGCGAAGGCGCCAAAGCGAAAGCAGGCGGATTAGGCGGGCGCCACGCTATCAAGCGAGTTCGCTATCATTATCCACAACAACACGAGGCGACGATACTGTATCGGGTATTTTAGCAACCTACGCACCACGCCACGAAACCGCTAGCTAGCACTTTGCGTAACCGCCGAATGGCGAGCGGGTTTTGCGGAATATATTACTCCGTGCGAGCGGTAGAAAGTCACCAGAAGCAAATATACGAGAGGACCGTAACTAGGATACTTGCGGCCGCGCTCAGAGACGACATTTCGCGCTTACTTTTGTTAAATTCGCATCTTAATGGTAGCTTTTTGTCAATGGGAGTCGTAAATATTAACACTAACTTCACAAAAGGGTGGAGCGCCGTTGACGAAAGAAGTTTCATTTTATGTTAGTAGGATTTATTGAACAAAGTATTCATTGAAACGTTTCTCTTCTTTCCTTCCTTCCTAAGATTTGCAAAGGTAGGACAGACATATATAAGATCACTTACGTCGTCTATCTATAAAATACATTTACATTCAAATCTTAATAAAGATTTAAATTACTGCTGCCGTTCCCTACACTTTCTACATCCATGTTAAAATAGATATACGTAGTACTCCCAATCATCCGAAAAATGTTAAATAACGAAAAATATGGTATACGGGAATCTATTTTAGCATATGTCCATTATTATTGATATTGAATAATCTAGAACGGTGCAGACAAGATTTTAATTGGGTAGCTATTTGAGGCGACAAATAAGCTTATCAAGGCTAAATATTTGAATACAGTTGAATGAACCGATGAATGAAACCACGTTGAATGAAACGATATTGAATGAAGTGAAGTTGACAGTCAAATAGAATGTAGTCGAGTTCCGCTCACCTGGGCGATCAGTTGCCTGATATAGAAGCAGTGCGGCTCCTTGCCGTCGATCCACGTGATGCGATCGCTGCGAATGGTCTGCGCCTCCGTGCTAGCTGGGTTGGAGACCAGCTGGCCGGCCTGAGGACAAGAAAACCTTCGCAGTCAATTCAACGAGGAGATCAGCGCGAGAAGTGACAGTCTACTTTTCATCACAACAAGTTGCGTAGCCTTGGCGCAATTTCATCAAATTGACCTTTTTTGTCACATTTAAGGTGCGCGCATGAAACATTATGGAATCTTTCAACTCGTAACAAAACACGGCCGTTGATAAGACAAGAATTTACAATTTAAATACGATACCTGCTACACATAACGCGTATGTCAGAATATTAACAATTTAAATTGTGATTCATATTAAAGAATATAATCGGTGTCGATGTTTTAGTTTGCAAAACTAATTTAAACATAACACAGATGAGAAAATGGAAATGCGTATAGCGTACTTCATTTGGTATTAAAATTTAATCGATGTGCCAGTGTTGACTTACCGAAGAGATCGGAGGGTTTCGTTTTATAACCAAAGTTTTTATAAACCTTTTAAATAAGATATATTTGCTATATCACAAACCTAATTAAGTAAAGTAGTAATTACGCTATTATTTAACGTTAGCCACACCACGCACATCACCACAATGCCAACAGGGGAATACTGTTCTCATAACCCTACCATTTAAAATTGGTTTTTCATTGATAGTCAAAATAGTCAAAAGAGTAATCAATAGTCCTTGAATTTTGGTATTAGAAGAAATCGCTTGGCCTCATGAGAATGTGCGATACCCTAGCTACAAACCAATCCAGGGCAGAGTACCTAAATGGTATTTTCTAAGTATTCTATTTATATGAAAGATTATACAAACTGGAGCTCTAAAATAAATGATCGATATAATAAGATATCGATCTTGTTATATCGATAACTAACAAATAAACAGATAGTATGTTTATTACAGACGATTTTATCCTATCTAAAATCGATTACAAGAAATTTAGCGGAGCTTTCACTTCTTAGACAAACGAGAGGGTTAACTCTAGCTTATATTCTTATGTGAAAAGTTGTCAAGCGAGCAGGCGGTTCACCTGATGTCAAATGTATACCGCCGCCATGGACATTTCCAATACCATTGAAAACCGTTAAAAAAGTTGGCCTAGGTTACCTCAATCGCCAGACGAATTCCGAAAGTTTAATACTTCCACTTTACGCCAGTTTTGTGTGCCTGCGCATTTGTGCACCATCAGAAGCTTTTGCTTAGCCCCACCATTATTATAAACCAGAAAGGTCAAAATATCATTGGCCATCATCAGTCATTGGCCGTTGAAAGAACACTGAAGTCATGACAGAAGGCAATGTCGGCACGCAAACAAACCGCGAACTTGGTAAATACCAAGTTCGCGGTTTCGATTATTTAATCGGTTTGGCACATCTGCGGTAGCAAGAATATAATGTTTACGCGCGTCTCTCGCGGTAAACATCGGAAATAACGAAGTTGTAACATGTTACATATATAACGATAACGGTTACGTGTAAGCTGTTGACATTTGTTTACGCGTGGTGTGGTTGTTAAGATAATAACCGTGACACGAAAAACACAAAGGTAGTGACAATTAGCAAATTTAAATGTTGATGAACTGTCCCGTAGTAAATAGATAGCCGATAGGGAAGATGTTTCAATTGGAAACAACAGGAGTTGTCAAAAGTAGCTTTGGTTACTTTATTATCACTACATCACTGCATAGTATAGAACAAAGTCATCCCGCTGTCTGACTGTCCCTATGTATGCTAGGATCTTTAAAACTACGTGACGGATATTTATGGGGTTTTTTTTTAGTAGATAGAGTGATTCAAGAGGAAGGTTTATATTTATAATACATTGCACCCATGCGAAGCCGGGGCGGGTCGCTAGTTATTGATGTTTTTAGTCCGTAGGCTATTAAAGCTTCATAGAACACGGAACTCGTGGGCTAACCAGAACCCAGGAGCTTGATACGGCCCTACACGCTGGGTAGGGCGAATGTCATGCGTGTTTTATCTTGAACGGTAACGGTAGATATGTCACCTAAGCGCCATCAAGATTCAACACACAACGTGTTGATTCGTTTGGTTATTTGCCACACTTATCTCCAGGTGATTGAGATGAATTTATGATCTATCTAAGAACCGTTTTGTTATCTCTCAAGTCATCGAGTAGCCTCCTGCAGTGCAGATCGTTTCTCTGATACCACCTTGCACTTTTGCAATGCCGACCTACCTATAGTAAAATTTAAACCTGTATTGCTATTTCATTTGTACTCTTTGAGAATTTCGTTTCATTCTGCCCATAGAAACTGCAACAAACATAGGGGCAAAAAGAAATCATGCGCTACAATCATGAGGCATTTGCTCTCGGGAAAATCCCACCTATATGCATGAATTACGACGCAATCAGCAAACAGCGTTATTATGTATACGTAAACAAACAGATTCAGGAGCATTATTCTCTCGTATGTTAATAAAAATGCTCTAAACTTTGAAATAACTATATAATTGCCTCACGTCTGTTACAATTAACATTAACCCTTCAGTATGAAAATGGAGTATCATTTCTCGAGGTCAATTTGTCCAATTCGGCAATGTCGGCCTTCCGGGGCCTCTCGTGTGCCCTTTTGTTAAAGACGGTACTGTTCGGAATCTCTATTTCAGTTTGCAATGGGGTTTCAAATTGAAATAAAAAAAATAGCGATAAAATCAAAGTTAATATTTTAGAAAATATTCAATAATTGATTGTTAAGTAACGAGAGGAATCAGGGTTCCGTACCCAAAGAGTAAAACGGAACCCTATTACTAAGACTCCACTGTCTGTCTGTCCCTCCGTCTGTCACCATGCTGTATCTCATAAACCTTGACAGTTACACAGTCGAAATTTTCACAGATGATGTATTTCTGTTTCCGCTATAACAACAAATACTAACAATACAAAACAGAATAAAATAGTATTTAAGTGAGGCTCCCATACAAAAGACATGATTTTTTGCCGTTTTTATCTATAACGGTACGAAACCCTTCGTGTGCGAGTCCTAATATTAATAAATAAATAATAAATAATGAAAATCAGTTATGCCAATTCGAGGGGGTGGTGATAGCTCAGCGTTCGCGCGCTCGCCTTTAATTCAATATAGTCAAACAATCCGAGTTCGATCCCCGGTGGCGGCATCATGGAATTTTTAATTTTAAGTGCTTAATTATCACGTTTTCAGCCGTGAAGGTAAACATCGTGAGGAAACCTGCATATTTTCGAAATAATCACAACATAGTATAAAACAAAGTCGTCCCGCTGTCTGTCTGTCCCTATGTATGCTTAAATCTTTAAAACAACGCAACGGATCTTGATGCGGTCTTTCATATTAGATAGAGTGATTCAAGAGGAAGATTTATATGTATAATATATTGCACCTGTGCGAAGCCGGGGCGGGTGGCTAGTAATAAAAAAAAATATGTATGTCGAAGATATGTGAAATCCGCCAATCCGCAGTTATCGTATTAAAACCTACGCCGCTCGAAACAATTTTCATTTCGTTTTCCGCAGACTTAAAATCAATTATCAAACGTGGTTGTAAATGCAGCTCTCAAGGTGTATAAGTTCGTCGAATAACGTGGTTGTTTGAGGTAACATAGTTTTGGCATCCGTCCCTTGTTTCCATTACAGTCCGGTCTGTTTGGCAACGATTAAATAAACAGCGAATAACACGATTGTTTACTTGTTGCTTTGAATTTTTACTAGGTATAATAGTTTATTAAAAATTGTATTGTCTTAAATGTGTTGTCATATTGATCAATTATCCATTATGTTATGTTTTACAAAAAAGAAAATAGCTCAAATGGAAATAATGTTAAATACACTTTTTTTTGCCTTTTTCTTTAGGTAACTTAATAGTTACTTAGGTTGTTAGTATGTTGGTTTTATCAATTTCCTTTCCTTTAATTCACAATTACACAAAAAAAATGGTGCTAATCTGTAGACTTTCAAAGCATTATAGAAGCTTACTTCAAATATGATATTTTCACTTTGTCCTTGACATAAGTTTTAGGTGTTATTATTATCACGGATTGTAGAAAATATGATCATTCAGATTAAATTAAAACTCATTTTTTACATACCATTGGCAATTAATTTGCCGTGAATCTAAAATTGGAAAATCGGTCAAGCCATTTCGGAGGAGTTCAATTACAAACACCATGACACGAGAATTTTATATATTAAATACAGCCTCATATTTTTATGTTACAAACATTACATAGTAATTGTGCTATACAATTATTGTATATATCATAGTTAAAAGCAGCAGATAATAGCTATAAATTGTTAAAATAAATAGTGGTTTGTATAAATAAAAAAGTAAAAATATTAGTGTGATGCTTAATAGTTATCATCATCATACACATTACATGCATAAAAACCATAAGTTCTCATCTGTGAGAAAAAGTGTAATGAACATGTTAAAGGTTGTTTGACTATATTCATCATTTCATTGAAAGACATACTCCCTCAAATCTCAAAATGTAGAAATGGATATCAACAAATGAAAGACAAGTTTAATTGTTAAAACAAACTCAACCCAAATTTCTTTTGCAGTGTAGTGAAATTTGTACATCTGCAGAATCAGGTCAGCAAGCAAGGTCGATTAAAATAGCTGACATGCACAAGAATATATATATAGTCAATTGAATTGACAGATTTATCAAAATCATTCCTACAGACAGCACCACTTGCATAAATAACAACTAAGTAGTTATAATCAATAGATATATTGATGGGTGAAAAATTATTAAGTCTTCAATACTAGTTCAATTTACACTATTGTCCGTTAAACCTCTACCTCCTCTGGCTGGCAGGTGGAGTACTTATGTGTGTAAACAATTGGTATTAGGTACATGTCTATATTATTATTTTAATAACAAGCATATATTATGATAACCTGTAAACAAACAGTTGACTTTTACTGTTATGAGTTATTGAACCCTTCACGCAGTTAGCTATTATTATCAATGATTACTAATAGCCATTGTGAAAGAAATTTATGGCCATACTCATCATCATAACTTTGGTAGTATTGAATGCATGATAAGATTTTCTAATATCCAGTGTTGGGTATTTGAAAAAGTATGTTTTAGGTATATTATGAACGATGTTAACATAATTAGAATGGAATATACAGTAGCCTATTGTTATTTATTTTATAATTTAAACAAAAAATAAAAACAATTTCAACTCAAATATATGTTATATCAAATTATATCATGATAATGTATCAACAATATAGTAATTTCTAAATTATATTTCAATTAAAATGAATAGTTTCACTGATGTTTATTCCATCTGATTATTAATTGTAGATAAAATACTTTGTGCACTGATAAGATATAATGTTAATTGTTTCTACAAAATCACTGATAGCTATGAAAATAATGTTTTTACGAAATATATATATATATATATATATATATATATAGAAATGAATTTTGAAGGTAATTTCTGTCTTGTAAAAGCTATTAAAATTTGGGGAATTCTACATAAGCTGCAAAATCAAAATATACTTACTGTGAATATGCCTGATCTATACATCTCAAGGACTTCATTTAACACAAGTAGTCCCCGTTCTTTACCAAGGAAATTGTCCAAAACACAAACACCATATTGAGTCATGTCTCTAATCACCCTCTGACAAATATCATAACTAGGATCACTAGGGTCCATGTAGTAATTATTCATCATAAATGCTCCACTTCCCTTGAGTGAAGCCTCAGGGTATTCTTTCATTTTTGAGTGCTGTTCGGGAACATATACAGGAATTGGAGGCATTTTCACATTCGTTCTATTTACGGTTTTTAAGACATTTGTAGTAGCTGTTGTAGAAAAATCCACTGTGCTAAGCTGTTGGGCTGATTCGTTCAGAATTTCCTGTTCTGATGAACCCTCATGTATAATGGCACTGTGCTTTATCAAGTCTCTGTTTGTATACACTACACTAGATATAACACTATCTTTCAAACTCGAAGGACCAGCTTTTAAAATAGATTCCTTACTTTTGACATCTGCTCCAAAAGTCTGTTTACTTTCTTCTGCACTACCCTCGTTTTTAACGTTTTTTCTTTTTGATTTTTTCGAACGTCTTTGTTCACTACCTTCCAATTTTGTAATTTCTATATTTTTGGTTACAAAGTCTTCGTTAGTAATAATCTCTTTCTCATCTAGTTTGTTAAATTCCTCTTTCGTGGATGATGACTGATCAAAATGTTTTTTAACGTTATGCGATCCCTGTCTCGAAGTCTTAGGAAGACACTCGCTTTTATGTCTTCGCCAGTCTTGTCGTTGGTGCTCTGTGTTGCAGTAATAAATATTAAGACAACGAGCGCACCTACGATGAGTCTTCTGATTACAAACGGCGCAACAAGCAAGTACGCCTTCTGGATTCATTCTGAAATAATTTCTTACCCCTGGCCGGTTCACACGACTGTCAAAAGACAATGTCATTTACATTTTTTTTTAATTTTTCGCTATAGATACTAGGCTTTAGGAACATAAAGTTGTGTTCTGATTGGATGCGTTCAAAATAAGTTGTTCATTTATATATAGAAAAAAAATAGGAGAAATTATAATATCAAAGCATATTGCGGAACTATATTTTTTACCAGGTACTTTAAAAGTTTTTATTGACATTTCAGGTTTGAAATTATAATTTTGTTCACAAAACAAACGTTTCTATTCAAAGATTTTCACACTCCTCCCGAAAGCTGCTCCTTTCCTGATTTATGGAAGAGACGTATGCCATCGGCATCCGAAAGCCAACTAAGAATAATTTTTCTGTCCACCCTGGGGAAACTTTGCGAATGAATTATCCTTGTAATTGTACTTTTTTTACTTTGAACAGTTTCACAAACTATACTCACTTGAACACTCTCTAATCTTAACTCTAGTTCTACTCACAGAAAAACAGTTGTGTGAGGTTACTTTTGTTAGTCATCGCAAAGGCACTTGACAAAGTCTGGGATATCGGCTTAATTTATAAATTATACTCGCTAGGAGTCTATAGTGCTATACAAGAGTACTATGCAGATGCCTTAAAATTATACGTGAACAGTTGGCTTTAATTGCATGTCGATGGGGCCTTATTCGGCCGTTCCCTAAGTATCTCAAGCTTCCCTGACCTACTATTCCTTATAGACAGATTATCAGCCCACGTTGTATTCATTTTTGTCGCATCAACTGGGGACAAAGGAAAATGCAGACGCAATCTTCCACAACTCCGGCGTAACTATGGCCTTCTTGCATATCCTCTTCTCCGGTGCTACGACAATCGGTCTGGTTAAATGGTGCTGTGCCAGTGGAATTGGCACAGTTGCTGTGCTTCACGAACCCCATATTGAGCGGCAGACACACCAATGCCTTCCGCTCGGGGGCTCGCAATCAGAGGGCAAGGTTGCGTGCGTTGGCCAGCATTCTGCACTATGGCCTCCGGCTATAGACTATCCGGGGTAGCAGTTGCGTCATTCAATGAATTTCTCAGTGGTCTCGTTCGGGAATACCTAGGACCACTTAGTTTGATTTGATACTTGGCATAACATAGCCCTAAACACGATAGATTGTAACAAAACCTGAATTGTTATACAATAAACGAACTAGGCCAATTAAGAAGAGTAAGCAGATAATGTTTAGTTGACATTCGGACTACCAGTCCGCCGTGCTGTCCGCTGCTTTAGGCATGATTGTGAATATTGTCGCAGCCTGCACGGTGTCCGGCAACACCGAGCAGGATGCGCCTTGTATCCAAAAGAAAAGATTTAGAAGAAGAGAAGATGTACTAAGTTCTTATCAAAATTCATGAAGCAAATTCAAACTTTCTGATCATTATAACGTCTCCATCACCTTTGGATACACCAACACCAAAGTAAATTTATATCCGATCGTCAGCTACTCCTCAAAGCCCATCAATACTTCATACACGAAAGACATCACAACAAACTCTACATGTTACACAAACTTTGAGTTCAAAATCAGTAAAATTTCATCAAGTAAATGCCAACGCTCCGATCATTATGATATCTACATCAGCATAGCCACCTGTTGGTACATCAACACCAAATCTCTCATTGACACAAGTATCTGAAGACATACAGACTCAAGAAAACAATTAGAATTCGATAGTCATACAAAAAAATTATTAAGTAATTTTTATGTGAAGTGTAAAGTGTTGTATGTTATTTGTTGTAAAACACGACCTGACCATGACATCCATGGCGGTTATCGTTATTACTGAAACATCTCAGGTAATTTTTAATAAGTGAGCTGGCTTGCCATCCCCTTTAATTATTTTTATCTAATAACAAAAAAAAAAGAGAATTTTATTTTTTTTTTTTTCCAAATTAACGCAGTTCGATTTCTGTCAATCAAATGACGGACCTACAAATTAAATTAAGTAACAGCAATGGTTTAGGTAACGGTGTCCTCTGTACGGAGGATATTAGGGCATGAGCTGGTCCATCACTTAAAAAAAGATTTAATTATTAACGCAGTGTTTCTGACGGACCTACAAATTAAATTAAGTAACAGTAATGGTTTAGGATATTAGGGCATTGTCCATCACACGACTCCGCCGCGGATTGGCAAACTGGAAATATCATTGAAATATTTTGTTCTAAAATGTTTTCATGTTTTCTTACGATATCTTAATTCACCGCCGAGTACGTGATAAATCAGCACATAAATTTGCAAAAAAAGCACTTAAATAAACAATTTCATTAATGTCAGCAACAGGAATTGAAGTCAGATTGCTCGAGTATATTGAAGTAAAAGCAGGTACACGAACACTTCGCTGTCACAGCTATGGGTATGAATAGAATTCAAAGAAATGTTTCTTTTATAAAAATTATTTATTTATTTTAAGTAAGTAAACATACATACAATAGTAAATTCATTGTTTATTAAGATATACTTTACCTCTCTACAGTAATAACTACTGGTCAGAGTGTTGTGAAAGAAATAAATAACATGTTTCATTTTTTAATATTTTGATATTATCATATTATGAAGTATATGTTAAGAAAAACAAGTTATATAAGGACATATTTACATAGCAATCAGCGGAATGATAATTTAGTATAGATATAGTTAGTTAAAACAGTGAATATGAACAGACTAGATTAGCTTTACGTCGAGTCGTACCTTTTGTATTTAACAAAAGATTAAGTTCAAAGTATTATAAAACAGAAGGTCTGGACTTGACGTAAGGAACCAAAGGAAACGTAAAGGCGTTCGTCGCATTTAACCAAAGAGACAAAAAAGACCGCCGGTTTACAACCGACGCACGCCTCCGCGCCATCTTTAAAGAACTACCATTGTAGAGTCTAAACTTTATGCCAACAATTTTACACTATCTGTCAAATGCCCAATACGGAAATTTTGACACGGTAAATATAGATAAACAAAATTATTGAAGGTTAACAGTTAGTATAAAAAGTGTTTAGGCATAACTTAACAAATTTTATAATATGTACAAGATAATTATTGCATCACTGCTTTGTGAATATGTTCTGCGTTTTTGTGATATAGCCGCCTTTTTGGGATATATAATGCAATTTCGGTTGTTTTGAAAATTTTTGCGTGTGATATCCTTAATACTTAAATTTATTCTAATTCTAATTAAATTTACTTGGTTGAAACTTTACAACGAATCGATAACAAAATGCAATTTGCGGAATGTCCGTGTGCAAGATGGAAGACTTAAGTTAGATATCGTGTATTAACTGCCTTATTATGATGTGTTTTGCAAAGTTTTGTTTCAAATCTAATAATGTATCATTGACGTACTGAAGTCTTTTGGGATACTTTTCCATAGTAGTGTTGTAATAAAAGTTAAAGGAAATCATCTACGTTACCCAGAACTCTAGCAGTTCTTTGGACCCTATCTTTAATTTAAGACCAGTATTAATTTTAGAAAAGTTGAATGCGTCGTCGACACAGAACACGAACCAAGCTGAAACATCATAACTCGCCCCGATAGACAAGGAAAAAACTAGACTGCGTCGTCTTCTAGTCAACATCAAAACTTGAATTATAATGTGACGTTATAACGTCCTAAAAAAAGAGAGAGCACGGTCACGTGTATATTCTGTTTCAGTCACTCGAGTTCAAATTAAGTCGACAGAGTAGAGTAACGTAAATGTCTTTTCGTTTGACACTGGACACTGGCTTTTGGCCAGAATACAACAAATGTCAATGTCGCCGACCACAGATTATACTTTCGAATCGTCGCTCGGACGGCTGTTGGGTGCGTTCAGAGCCCTCGCCAGCTCGGCTTTCTCGTCGGCTGATAGCACATAAACTGGTGGCGCCGGGGGGAGGAACCGTTCGGCCTTTTGCGGCTCTCTTTGGAGCCGTGCGCGGTACAGCATCACCAAGACGCAAAGCACGCTTATTATGAACGCCGAAGTGGCGGCTAGGACGATGAGCGCCGTGTGGTACGACGTCGCAGCCGATACCTGTGGCGTGCAATAAATAAAGGTTAAGCCTAGGTTGGTTGAGGGCAGGAGGGTGACAAGTCTTGCTTTAGCCCTTACGTTTCAATATATATTTGCGATACAGTATAGTGTATCGTAAATATAAATATAATGAATACACACAATACAGTTGTCATAGAGTAAGGTAGGTTCAAAAAAGTCACAGAGCAAAACTGTGCACAAAACGACTGTAGTGTTTAAAATCGTGTGGAAGTTGTACACAATTTTCAACAATAAATTTAAGTGACAGAAATTGACTATCCAATTAAATAATTATATATTATTGTAATGTTTTGAATATTTGGACTGGGGAGGGGGCGAGGGGGATCGCAGCTATGCATATCTCGTGGCTAACCTTTAATCTCATTGTTGTAACACGAAGTATCATGTACATAAAAAAAAAACCTTGGCTTGGGTCGAACCCTGGGCTGGGCTTACCGTGGACTCGGTGACGATCTCTCGCTGTTGTAGCGCTGGCGCTGGTGCCGCCAGCCGGTACTCGCTGCGGATTACGTCCGCCCCCAGCACGCCCGCCTCCGACCTGGATGCGCCCGTCAGTTTCTCCCTCTTCACCTGGTAACAGAATAAAATAATAAATATTAATATTTTAGGACACATTTTTAACTAAGCAACAGATAGATGTACTTAAACATACTTTTCTTTTGTAAAGATAAATACATATATAAACACTCGGACACTATGTTTATCATACAATATTTTTCCTGTAGTAGGATAGAACCCACACCCTCTGGCACAAGAGGTAGGTTCAATACCCACTATGCTAATCGAGGGAAATATTAAATATCATAATAATGAAATTGAAATTGTTATCGTACTATCTTTGCATTTATGAAGCAGTAAAGTTTGTAAAAAAAAGTGGACGAAAAGTTTAGCCGCTGCGAGAATTTGAATTTATTGACTTTGACTTTGACGTCTTCTGGAACTTCTGGGCGCAAATTGACTGCCATATTAAAAAATCTCTCCGAATTGCCATTTTACACCTTTTTGAAATTGTTTACACCTAGTTGTTTGTGGTATTGGCAGTGAGCCTTGAATACATAAAGGCATCCGTAGCATTTGAAGCACTCACCGCGTTCTCGAGGTGGAAGGCGAGATCTGTTACCCTAGGGCCTTGGAGTAGGGACATCGAAGACAACGGGACTTAAAGAGAACATATCAAAACAGCCGTGGCAGTTGAAGCAGTAACCACGTTCCGAGAGAGACTTAAGGAGAAGATATAATGACCCCCGTAGCATTTGAAGCATTCGCCACGTTCTCGAGCTTGAAGGCGAGATCCGTCCCTAAGGCCTCCGGCAACCTAACTAACCGGACGAAACGCAAAGGTATAAATACCTTTAGTTCACGCCGATCTTCTGTGGGGCCGTGGTACTTCCCCGGTTTGAGCCGGCCCAATTCAGCATCACTCTACCACGTGGAGCCACGCATTGGCATATAAGGGCACCCGTCGCGCTTGCAGCACTCACCACGTTCTCGAGGTGGAAGGCCAGGTCCGCCGCCCTCGGGCCCTGGAGCAGCGCCCTGAGCCTCACCCCTCCCGCGTCCTGCGCCACCGCAACTGGCACCCTGGCCCCGAGCGCCGCCAGCCGCCCCGCCAGCGCCGCCTTGCTGCGTTCCGCCTCCGCTTCCCCAACACCCACCAGCTCCAACTCCAGCACGGCAGACTCGATCTGCGTCACCTCTGCGCCAACAAGTATTTTTTTAATTAAACGCTTGCAAAATGCTATGGACCCGGCTTCTATGATAACGCCTCACTAACACTTTATGTACTCGATGATGGGTAGAGGTATTTTTAATAAAAACAGATATGTAATCCGAGTAGAGAATGGAGATCTTACGTGTATAATTTCTTTTACTAATTTAAAACTTATAAATTAATGAAACAATCCATTCCATACACGGCATTAGCGATTCATTCGAGTTCAAAGGCGCGTCACATGTTTCTTGCGGTGGTATATTTAAGATTCTTTATTCAAATGATCCTACTAGCGTCTTACGTGAAACGAACTATTGGTGGATTTAAAGTATAATTCTTAACCCCTCTCCCCCTCCAGTGCAAGCCGAAAACACCGTAACCCTCCGATCTGATAAGAAAGGCCAACCCTCCGAGCGCCGTTGCATGTCGCCATGTAGATCACGCGACAAGTGACAAGTGACAAGCTCACCGCAGCGCTGCTCCGGGTCGGCGTCGCGCCGCTGCCCCGCCGCGTCCGCGCACCAGCAGCGGCCGCGCGCGCACTGCCGCGCCGCGAACGCGCCGTCCGCCTCGCACCTGGGGCCCACCCGCCCGGCTGCGCGAAACACGCACTTATCACCATCGCAACTAGGTCTACTTCAATTCGTGGTCCAAGATATGCCATAATATTTCATATATATAGAATTCTAATATTTCATATATTATGAATAGAAGGGCTGGACCAGTTTTACTAAAAAAATTTTGTGTCTTCAAGTCGATTCGAGAGTGGTGTAGATTCACAATTCGGAACACTACAATTTTTTTATTTTTTTTTTTCGGTTTAAGAAAAGGTGACAAGTTTTCAAATATGCATTGTAAACCAAGCATTTTATTCAGTTACATTTATAGTAATGCTTGGTGTATTAAGTTGGATAACATGGTACCGCCTTTGATTTGCTAAAAACTTATGGTGGTGGTATCGATTGAAGAGTAAGAGAAAGTTTTAAAGAACTACATTTCCGTTCCCTTGTTATCGTTGATGAGAAAGCTGTTTTTTTTTCGCGTGCAAATACCGGGTTAACCGTTCAAATGACAACAAACACAGTTGTTTCATTACGATGATTTTGCGAACGTACCTTTCTCCGCCTCCTCAGCCAACACTTGACACTTAGTCTTGAACGCCATTTTGTCTGTTGCGATCCGGATTGGTCTGTCACTTGTCCTTGTGGCCTGCGACACTTTCGGCTCGACCACCTCCGAGACCAAAATGGCGTCCTCCGACGCGTCACTCGCCTCTCGGCCTTGCGGCTCAGCGTCAGCGATGTCGTCGTCCACCTCGTCCACCTCGTCGAAGTCCTCCATTCGGAGAGACGTCATTTGCCGTATGAGCTCCTCTAACACTGAAATCGATATAAATCAAATCATTTATTCATCGAAGTAAGAAATAGGTACATAAATTGCATCTATCGATAGGCATTTTTTATATTACCTAGCACTGAAATCAAATAATTTATTCATCGAAGTAAGAAATATACGTTGCATCGATAGTCATTTTTATATCTACCATCGTTTCGTAATGAGATTCCTCTAACGGAGCAGAGATAGGCGAAAGAAACTCCGTAGGTAACCTCCTTTTTTGTAATTTTTTTGTACATTTAAAGTTTTTTTATATTGCTAATCTCTGCAATTAAAATTAAACATTAAAACTTGTAGAAAAAGATTGTCGCCGCTGTGGGAATCGAACCCACGTCTTCGGCATTGGCGGCCTGGCGCTTTAGCCACTAAGCCAAACGGCTGATTGCCGCACCGACGAAAATCTTAACGTCTTTTATCTACACTGTTATTTAGCATTGGAAGCAATGCTTGGCGCATCTATTGTTACACAAACAATTTCGAATATCGTCTTACAACGATAGCTTCGAACGAGAGAAGTCGCCATTGGTTTTTAGAAATTTCAAGTTTTTTTATATTGCTAATCTCTACAATTAAGATTAAACATTACACCCTCTGGCGCAAGGGCAAGACTCCGCCACACAGGTCTTTATCCTCGTTAACCTATACTTTTGCATTTCGTCTGTTGACTGTGGGAAATTGGGCCTTTGTTCCTTTTTGTTACCAACATTAAACTAACAGTGTCCGGCAAATTAACCCTATCCATCAGCGTCGTTGTCATATTTTCTCATGCCCTGCTAAAGTTTTACTAAGTCCTTAAGATTTAGTAAAAGCTTTGTCCGGGAACTGCGTTCTTAGGAAGGCTAGTTTCCATCGGGTCGGACTTCTCTTCGAGTGAGAGTCACGCATGTTCACATGCGTATTATGATAGTCGGGTTATCGACTTTATTAATCGACGGTGTTTATTCGTTTTCAGCGAACTATGTGCACCGTGATGAAAGCTGATGTATCTTGCTAACGCGATGCGTAAATTACGTCGTGCTCTTAGGGTACCAACTACTAGAGTGTGCTATTTTAGATGCTGCTTTTCCAGTATACGATCCGCCCCTTCAGGACTGTACCGATGACGACACACAAACGCGACATATAAATATAGACGACATATAAACGCGAACGCTGATTGCAACCAATCAGCGTTCGCGTTTATAATCGCAACCAATGGGAGAGTGGCGTTACGAATCGCAACACCTAGGCGGCCAATCAGAGCTGTGAACGGTGTCTCACCTTCGTCCGTCGTGGAGTCAGCGTCACGATGCGCCCACTTGCGCGCCTGTCGGAAGTTGCAAGTGGGTCTAGCGCCGCGCACCAAAGAGCCTTTCTGCGGTTCACCACGAGCGCTGACGCACCAGCAAACATCTACAGACGAATAATGTTAGAATTATCAAACATGATGATGATGACTGTCAAACAACTTGGGCAAAGAGCGGCATTGTGGGTGGAAAACTTATTATGTTAGAGTGACCGGCGAACATGATGATGATGACTGTCAAACAACTTGGGCAAAGAGCAGCATTGTGGGGGGCAAACTTATTATGTTAGAGTGACCGGCAAACATGATGATGCTGACCAGGAAACAACTAGAGCAAAGAGCGGCATAGTGGGGGAAAAGTTTTTTATGTTAGAGTGACCGGCAAACATGATGATGATGACTGTCAAACAACTTGGGCAAAGAGCGGCATTGTGGGGGGAAAAGATTATTATGTTAGAGTGACCGGCAAACATGACAATGCTGACCAGGAAACAACTAGAGCAAAGCGCGGCATAGTGGGGGAAAAATTTTTTTTATTTTAGAGTGCCAGGCAAACACGATGATGATGACTGTCAAACAACTTGGACAAAGAGCGGCATAGAGGAGGAAAGTTTTTGTGGATTGTTCTGTATACGAATGCGTTTCGCGAGATTTTTGCCGGTCACTACAGCAAGGCCCGCAGTTTCGATTTTCTATATCTATAATATAAATATAGGACCAGACCTCTTGTCACCAGCTGCAGCGACAAGTAAACCTTTCAAAAGTAGACGTAAACCTTTCAAAAAACAAAAAAAAGTAAAACATGAAATCTATAAATACAGTAAAGATTGTTACCAATATTCGACATGCACTGCACTGGCTCCCAGCCGCCGGTTGCATCGCAGCTCGGTATGAAGGCGCCTTTGCCATACTTCTGCGCGGCCGCTTCGTTCTTCTCGCGCAGACGCTCGCACGGGCTTAGTACTGGAATTATGAATCGATTGATATTGTTTTATTAGCTTCGACGCATATTTTGTTACAATGCAAGTACTTCACCGAATTGTGCAAACTTTAAAAATGTTCACGGTTCACTACATGCATCTAGCTAAAGCTATCAAAAATGGTTCAAAAATCACAGCAGTTACCACAGTGCATTTAAATTAATCACAGTGAATTGAATATTCGTAATTTTTCCGTATTGTACCGTATATTTTGCGGTATTGCAGTATGCAATGTATTTGTAATGCGTGAAAACTTGTAAGGGACCTTTGTTATTAGGTATGTATTGAGGGTCGCTGAAGGAGTTTATTTGTTGTTAATAAGAGTTGATTAATTGTAAACATTTCAAAAACTATTGATGGATTCAAAATTATTAATATTTCATTGTAATCGAATTAACTTGAATCAAAAATTTGTGAGTTTCTTTTATTTTTATTCTACAATATAATAAGTTAACTGAAAATAAGCTTATGTTAATTTTTTATTCGATGTAAGTTCATATTAGTTTTAATTCGTAGCGGTCGAGGTGCAGATATGTTAATGACGTTGATGATAATGACTTTGTTTAATGTTGTTAATTTCGTATGTTATATTTAGTTTGATTAGTTGATTTTTAATCTATACATGTGCCCTTGTGAACGTTTAAAAAATAATAAAGCACATGCCTTCGGTTTCGTTAATTATTTTCCGATGCTCCTTTTTGGTTAATTTCGGTGTTACCTCGGCCACTGTTTTAAAAGCAAAATATTAATATCTAATATAAATATTTGTCAGTAGTTCAATTTATTACATTAGCATTACTTAAGCGTTTAATTTTGTATCTGTATGGAGGTGAGAAAAGAAACTCTTTAACGTTTCTCAATGTTTCCAACGTAACTTAATTATTTTTGTGGCATTTTTGGAATGAGCGAATTTTTAATTCGATTTTTGATTGTCTAAAATTTTTAGAGATAAGATAGCTTGCACTTTGCTTTAAATTTTTTAAACCTTATTAAAGTTACATTTTTATTTTATTAAAACTTTCATATTTTGAATTGTTGCATTTAATAACAATTGACTTTTGACTTGACAGTTAACATTTGACTTTTACTCCCCAAAATTATTGTAATCACAAGACGAGAATAACTAGTACATGACTACTGAGTCAGTTGATTAATGCTAAATACTGATTTATTCGTTGGAACGCACAACCTTGACTAAAAATATCATAGGATCGATATGTAAACGATTTTTTATTAAGACCTCCCACCATATCTGGGCTATAACATAAAGGCCGTTCCGTTATTAGGTTCTAAGTGGTTCGATAGCAACGGGTAGGAGTTTCATATATAGACAAAGTGTATTAAGAGTCACGCGTAATCATAGTGTCCGAGCCGTATCAGACGATTCCCCGAGACCCGTACCTGCTCTTGGCCGACTCCTACGGCAGTGTGGACGACCCCGGTGTATGTGTGTGTGTTATTAGGTTACAAGCACTGTGTTCACTGACCGGGGCATACGGCGTTGCACTCCTCCTTTGTCCGGAAGTTGTTGTGGTTGCCGGAGCAGCCCTGGTAGTGCATCCGCTCGCAGCGGTTCCTCGCCGCGTTGAAGTGCCACCGGCTCGCGTTCAGACCGCCGCCGGAGGCGCATTCGCCCTCCTCTTTACTCTCGAAGCACACCGTCCCTGCACAGCCCCCCCTCGTGACAAATGATACTTATCTCTCTCTCTCTATCTCTCTCTTACATCGGATGAAAACCTTTCGTGATATTAAAAAGTTTATTATATATTTTTCGTGATATTAAAAAGTACATTATACGTTAAACACAGCCCCTTGATAAAATTAAAATAATCTATCTCCCTCTCTATCTCTGTGAACACAGCCCCTGGGCAAAATTAAAATAATCTCTCTCTCTCTCTCTCTCTCTATCTCTGTCGCTCGCTCTTTATCTCTTTCTCTTACATTGGATGGAACTCTTTCGTGATAATGTTACATTTCAACCAGATTCGGCGAGTCGTATAAGGAGTCTATCCATTTCAGATAAGACTTTGGACAGATAGGACTATTAGTCCCAGAAACTAAAACAGTGTGAAAAAGAAAACGCAAGAAATCATGGTATCAAAACATGATGGGAGTACGGGTTTTAATGTTAATAATGTAATGTTTGGATCAATTATTAGAAACATTAAGAGGTTACATACGAGGTGTAGGATAAGTGCCCTCCGTTCGCATCGCAGTACGAATAAAAATTGCCCTACCTATATGATTTCAGTATTGCGCTAGTTAGATTAGTAATTGCAATTTGAGCTTAATGACAATTGTCATAGAGTCGAAATTGCGGACTGACTCGGCTTGTTGCAGCAAACCGCCGGGCTCCAGTCATGGCCCTAACTCACAAGAAAAAAGTATTAGCATAGGATAGAAAATTGCTCATCGCCATATTTGATTTCTGTATTGCTCTCATTACTTTGTAATTTGTACTCAATGTCTATAGGAGTAGTGTCGAAATTGATGTGCACTGACTCTGTTTGGGGCAGCCGACCACCGGGCTCAAGTCATGGCCTTAATTCACTAGAAAAAAGTATTAGCACAGGATAGAAAATTGCTCATAGCCCTATTTGATTTCAGTATTGCGCTCACAAAACTGTAATTTGAACTCAATGTCAATAAGCGTAGAGTCGAAATTGGTGTGCACTGACTCGGCTTGGGGCAGCAGACCGCCGGGCGCGAGTCGTGCGGCGCGAAGCGGCACGCGTGCGTGGAGGGGCACGCGGCGGCGTCGGGCCCGCACGCGAGCGGCGCTGAGCCGTCGGGCGCCAGCAGCGGCTCGGCCCCGCCCGGGCACTCGGGCCGCGGCACGCAGCGCGCCAAAGGCGGGCACCACTCGCCCTGCGAGCAGACCTTGTTATACACACGGACTATAAGTGTAATTTTTGGATATTGTATAAGTACTTAGTACTATAGTAAAGTAAAGTAATAGCCTATATATGTCCCACTGTTAAGCAGAGGTCTCCTCTGCACAGAGAGTGTTAGCGCTTCCCATAAATAGTTCCACCACGCGGCACCACTGCGGATTGGGGTGCTTCACATATCTTCGAAATATTTTTTTCACTCACGATTGTTTCCTTCATAGCTGAGCAGATGATAAATCAGCACATAAAATTAACAGTTTTATTGGTTCCGGCACCGGAGTCGAACTCAGGTTTCTCGAGTATATTGAACTAAAAGCGAGCGTCAGCTGTCACGTCTAACTAATTTAGTATTATAGTAACTAGTTATATGGGTATTAAAATGTTGTATTTGTGATGTTAAGTGATAACCACGCCGCCCATCGAAATTTGGAACACTTTTAGGGTTGCTACTGAGTTGCCACCTTTTAATGAAGCGGACCTCACTCACCGGACGAAACGCGGAAGTATAACACTTCCACTGTACGCCTGTTTGTGAGGTCGTGGTTTGCCTCACTGTTGCCCATTCGTGCAACAGCGAAGACTGTTGCGAGGCCCTACCACCTGTAAGCCCCGTAACAGGGCAGGGCTGTCACCTTTCCCCCCTGATAGTAAGACCCTGAGCGGCAGGCATGGTCATGTCTGTCGCTCAATATGGGGCTCAACACTATGTAATAGAGGAGGCCTAAAAAGGCCATAGTCGCGCCGGGGTCGCGGAACATTGTGTCCACGTGTTCCCGTGTCCCCGGCCGATGCGACAGAGACAGACTGTTGCACGAATGGGCAGGCTCGTCCGGGTAAGTACCACGACCTCATAAAAGACCGACGTAAAGAGAAAGTATAATACTTTCGCGTATCGTCTGGTGAGTGAGGTGGCCGGAGCCCAATTTTCAAAAGGTTGTCCAACGCATCTGGAACCCTCTGGTGTAGCAGATGTCCATGGGCGGCGGTATTCACTTAAAATCAGGTGCACCGCCTGCTCGCTTGGCAACTTTTCATAAAAAAAAAGGTAGGACGTGGGTTTTTAGTGGGTACCCGTTCGTATTGGGACTCACACATACTCCTGGCAGTCCCCCGTACAAGGGGCAGGGCATCCATAGAGGGTTTTTCCAACGGAAAATAAAAAGGGCTGTCACCTCGCAGTCCAGCGGCACCAGCTCGCACGTCTCGTCGTCGCGGCAGCCCGCCTCGAGGCAGGGGTCGCGGCAGTCGCACGTGGGGCAGCCGCCCTCGTCCAGCTGTCTCCCGTGGGGGCAGTCGGCCGCCTCGCACTCCCTCGCCGGACACGCGGCCGGCGCGTCGCAAGTGGGCGTGGCGTTCTTCGACCGTGTGCCCGCAATCTGACGGGTACACAACTTTATCTAGTCCCAAACTTAACAAAGCAATAATAAAATTGTGGGTACTAGGTAACTGATAAACATACTTAAACGCATTTTTATTCGTAAACAAGTAGAATATTCCCAAACAAAACTCAAGTTCATCACTCAATATTTTTCTAGTATTTAAAATGCTAAAGCTTTCTACATGTCTTAATGTTCAATCTTAAGTGCAGAGATTAGCACTAAAAATAAAAAAAAATCTAAAAAGCAATGGCGACATCTCTCGTTCGAAAAATCGTTGTAAAACGATATTCGAAATTGTTTGTATGCTGCAAAGGATATAACAATAGATGCGCCAAGCATTGCTTCAAATGCTAAATAACAATGTAGAAGGAAGGCGTTAAGATTTTCGTCGTTGTGGTTATCAGCCGTTTAGCTCAGTGGCTAGAGCGTCAGGCCGCGAATGCCGAAGACGTGGGTTCGATTCCCACAGCGGCGACAATCTTTTCGTACTTTTTCTACACGTTTTAATGTTCAATCTTAAGTGCAGAGATTGGCACTATAAAAAACTTTAAAAATTTTAAGATATTGTTATTTATGTGTGCTTACCTCATTGCCGACGTCGTCAACACACCAGCAAATCTTTTCGGAGCCCCGGCATTGGATCCTCTCGTAAGTTCCGTCTTCTTTGCATTCAGGTATCCAAGTCCATGACGGTGGGCTGCCACTTTCGGCAGCGGTGTGCAGCGCTAAGGCCCTAAGGATTGAAATGCACATTAAATGATACCATTTATAACCGTATCTTCATAATGTCTGCGTACTTTGAGCGTCTGGCTTAAATAATATTTATACATGTTCGTTTGTTAAATTGTAAGTACTAAGTTTTAAATTCTGCTCTATAGCGAAAACGGTGGGATATTAATTTATGTGTCATAAAGACCGAAATTCACAATTATACCAGTTTATTTGCTTTTAAATATTACGTGTTGACATTTTAAACATTATATTGGAATATAGTTAATTCTATACCTGTATTTATTTTATACAAACATTCATGACAGCATACACGAGTCAACTAACTAGGTTTAGTTTGTCTTATAACAGTATTTCGAGACCAAGACTCCACGTCCCCTTAATATCCTATACTCAGATAAAAGTCGTGAACAAGACTCGAATAATGACGTTATGGATGTAATCGTTTGTGGGGATTGGTATGGGGGTAGCGGGGGATGGGGAGTGGGGGTTTTGGTCGGGTAGTGGGGAGTATTTTATGCTTAAATACTTTTGTGTACGTACATAATTCAAAGAAAAAGAAAAATGAGACGATAACACCGCAGAGTTTCCTGCCGGTTCTTCTCTGGACAGGTCTAGTTTAGTTGAGCGGTGATACTTTCGACGTTTAATAAGAGCTCAAACTTTGACCTTGAGCATTCGACTTCGAATTTGACCTTGAGCGAAGAAGAACAGGTCGCTCACCTCCTCTGCTGGCAGGCGGTGTGGTGGAGCGCGTCGGCGCAGGCGGTGCCGCAGCCGGTGGCGCAGCAGCGCTGCTGGGGCCCGCACTCGGCGTCCGAGCGGCAGGCCCACTCGCACGAGCCCGTCGCCGGCACCAGGTACGGGCACTGGCCCGTCTTTCGCGGCAAGCCTGTCGCGGGCGGTGGCAACTTTATTGTTTTTTTTTTAAATCATTACCCATACCTTAGGATTACATTATGCTGTGTTGTTTACGTTTTGCAAACATAAACTTCACGCGGACAAACACCCAGATGCGAAACGACTATCTGTGGGTCACGCAAATAGTTGTCCCGTGTGGGAATCGAACCCACGGCCGATACCTTGGCAACACCGTGACGGCGTCATCATAATACGACGATAATATACAACGACACTAGGGTGTGTCTAGTGTGCCCAAGAAATAGCCCAAACAATCCCACTTCATCAGCCGGAAGGCGTCCACTGTTGAACAAAGGACTCATCTTTGAATGCCACATCGAATGGAACATTAGCTTTTTCATCCGCCAGTTGCCCTCGACTCTCACGATTTCATTGGTCCAGGACAGGGAGACGTCATCATCATCATGATCACTTCAGCCTGTTAGATTCTACTGATCATAGGCCTCCTAGACTGCCGCGCGACATGACATGAGCACCGGTACCTTTACACAGATCAGCACTCCATCTGGTGGTCATTTCTCCGAAACTTCTTGAACACGTGATCTTAAAAGATGGCGTACACATAACCACGATACCATCTAGACCCACCGTAGGCACGTGAGAATGAAACATTGCCATTTCATCCACCGGTTGCCCGCTATTTTTACTTCGTCTGTCCACCGAGCAGGGTTCCGAGACTTCTCGAATAGGTGATTTCAAATGATGACGTAAACACGTAACAGCCAGCCTACAGTCAATCAGTGACGTGCACGTGACTCAGGACCATTACCAGGGTCAGTTGATCCTGTGAAGACCCGTGACCCAGAGTTATTATCGTGGTAATTTGATCCATCTAAGCCGCACGAGGCCGACAGTCGTCACGACATGACCCTGACCCATCGACACGTTACTAGTAGTGCTTCTCACAGGCGGGCACTGGCCCATCGACACGTGATCCAGGGCTACTCACAGGCATGTACAGGGGCGTGCAGTCGTCGCGATACGCACGTGACCCTAACCAATCGGCACGTGATCCGGGGCTACTCACAGGCGGGCACGGGAGTCGGCATAAGTCGTGACGCGCAGGTGACCCTGAGCCATCGACACGTGATCCGGGGCTACTCACAGGCGGGCACGTGCGGGCAGTAGTCGGCGTCGCAGGCCACGTCGACTAGAGCGCAGGCGCGGCCGGCCGGGCAGGTGACGTCGGCGCAGGGGTCGCGGCAGCGGCACGTGGGGCAGCGGCCCGCGCCGAGCTCGAACCCGTAGTCGCAGCCCATGCGGCACGTCAGCTCGAGACAGGACAGCTCCGATCGCACCCTATGGGAAAATTGTACGGATAGAGACCCCGCATTTAAATCTTTATATGGCAACAGCTTCTGATGTTGCACGAATAGGCACGAGTACGCAATAGATCTACAGCCACTCTGGTGCTGCAGATGACCATAGGTGGCGGTGATCACTTGATGAAACTCCTGCTCGCTTTCCAACTGTTCCCGTAAAAGTAAATCGTCGGTAAATAAACACACCATTGGTTTCACGACACCGTGATTTTTTTTAACATTGCCCTTTCTTTAGGATAACGTTATCCTGTATTGTAAGGACGTTTTACAAACATAAATTTCACGCGGACTAACACCCCAGATGCAAAACAACTATCTGTGGGTCACACAAATGATGTTCATGGGCGGCGGTGATCACTTACCATCAGGTGAGCCTCCTGTTCCCCTGACCTCCTATTCTCCATAAAAATAAAGTTACTGAAAAAAAAACTTATACAGCATGTTAGGTTGTAGTTAACGAGGAATTCCCGATGAGGATGCAACGAAACCACTCACTTCTGGCAGTCCACCGAGGAGGCGTTGCCGGTTCTGGTGTCCGGTATCTCCGTGCCGAACTGGTCCACGCACCAGCACCGGCCGCCCGCGCACTGCTGCGCCCTGAACGCGCCGTCCGCCTCGCAGCTGGGCGGCGGCAGCGCCAGCCGCATCCCGTCCACCGTCCCCTCCATCTTCTCGTCGAAGTCGCGCAGATACTCGCACACTGTTCGCAATCCGACGTGAAAAGACGCTTGTTGTTAGTTTGTCTGTCAGTTTCGTGCAAAGAGAGGGGGGAGGGGCTTAAAATTTGTATTTATATGTAAGGTACCTAAACATATATAATTCTTCTGTACGTGTGTGTCACTGAACTTCTCCTAAACGGCTGGAAAGATTTTAATGAAATTTTTTGTGTGTCTTTAAGTTGATTCGAGAATGATTTGGAGTCATAAAGTTATTCAAAAAAGTTTGAAAATTTCCAATTTAAGAAGTGTGCACAGGACAACGTCTGTCCCGTCGGCTATTGTTTTATACAATATTATATATTCGAAATTTTGAGGTCTCGTATTAATATACAGAAATATTTGTGGACCGTTAAAGCGGATCAATAGAGAGAGAGAGAGAGAAAGAGAGAGAGAGGGAGAGGGAGAGAGAGGAAAATTCTACTTACTTGTCGGTGTATCGTCAAAGCGATCAGCCTGCAGGCGCAGCTTGGCGGAATCTACGCAGACTGGACCACACGTTGCAGTGGAACAGCAAATCTGGTCACCCTCGCAGGCGCCGTCAGAACAACTCCTCGTGGAGTTCTGACCGCAGACCGCTTCTACCTCCGGACCGCAGGTCTCAAAGTTGATCTGGTGCGGCGAGAGAGGAGAAACAAATATTGATAATTATTCTCATAGTCATTTATATTAAACTGTATATTACCATACTTTATTTAACTTTATCGATGCGAATAAAGTTATGTAAAGCTATTTTTAATAGGATGCGTTTAAGTATTTGTTGATGAGTTTTAGGAAAGACAAATTCCTCAAAGGCTTACCTCTAGAGTCTCTTCGGTGGAGTTATCGTAGTTGGGGTCTGGGCAGCATACGGGGCTGTTGCGGCGGGAGCGAAGGCAGATGTGGCCAGCGGGGCAGCCCTCCTCCCCTTCACCCCCCTCGCCACCCCCGCAGCTCAAAGGCCTCCCCGAATCGTCCGTGGCGGGCGCGCCCACCGCACAGGGGTTTTCGTACGAAACTTGTGGACGGCCTGTAAAGCGAACAACTCATGAAACGGGTGCGTTCCATTAGTTAACATAGGCGCGAAATAATCCGGCAATTTGGTTTTAATACACACACACGGTGACGATCTGTGCTAATGTATGATAGATGCAGGTAGCTCAGGATCGTGCTTCGTGGTAGTATGTGGGGGAAGCTTTTGTTCAGCAGTGGACTCTTAACAGGCTGAAATGATGATGATGATGTTACAAGCACGCATGAAAAGGACATAAGGACGTTTAAACCTATCGTGAACGTGGTTGCTCAAAAAGCTCTGCGTTCCATAGTTTTAATCATCTACGGATTGGAGGCAAAAATATCATTTGATAAGAAATAAAAGTTAAATACAAAAGTGTCAAATATTACACATTCACACATAGATTTCATTTGTGAAAATCTTAGTAAGAACCAATAATAATATTTATTCATAACGGAATCATATAAAAAATACACAGAGACGGTACATAATACGCGAATTTGGAACGGCACGTGCATACGAACAGCACCATACAAGTACCAATAGCAGACGCGAACTAATATTCGATTTTGGAACGGCAAGCACACACGGAGACCACAGTACAAGAACCGATAGCAGACGCCAGCTAAAATTCAAATTAGGAACGGCACGGACACACGGAGAGCACCGTACAAGTGCTAACAGCAGACGCCAGATAAAATTCAAATTTGGAACGGCACTCACACACTGGGTAGCCGGTGCACAGGTCGCCGGCGCAGTCGGAGTCCTTGACGCGGGCGCACCGCTCGCCCGGCGGGCAGGGGAAGCCCGCGCAGGGGTCGTCGCACTCGCAGCTGGGGCAGCCGTCGGCGCCGCTGCGGTAGCCGTACTCGCAGACGCCGGCGCAAAGGGCGCGCGCGCAGCCGCCCATCGAGCGCCCGCTCGGCTTCGCCGCTCGCACCCGCTCGGCGCACTCGACTGACGCTGCGGGCCCCATCGAGCCGCGCAGCTTGTTCCCGTCTGAGTCCACGCACCTGCGACGTGCACTTTACTAGACCGATCCTTTGAGACATGCTCCGAAACGATGAGGGGTCGGTGCAATTTTTAAAGATTCAGTAAATCCGAATGAAAGAGTTAAAGATATTCCTGTAACGAATGGATTAAATAATTGGAATCTAAGTATCTTCTTCTTTTTCTTCACCTACCCTTGTCCCACACCAGTTGGGGCCCACGGTTGGCGTACCCATGGACATCTACATCCACTGTACAATGCACTTGCGTCATCATTTAAGAACGTGGGTCTGGTACTTCGTAATGAATATCATTGGTTTCCTTCGATGTGTAACTACACTAACAAATGATTACTCACCAACAAACCAGCCCATTTCTGGAGCACTGCTTCGACACGAAAGAGCCGTCCGCGGCGCATTGCGGCACGTAGCCCTTCCCCTCCCGCTCGCTGACGACCAGCAGTTCCGCCAGCATCTTCTGCTGGGTGCACATTGTCACGTTGTGGGGCAGCGTGCAGTGGCGGCCACACTCGCCGCCGTCGCAGCACTTCTGCATCGAGGGGCACTCCAGGTCGTGGGCGCAGGGGGTCCCGCAGTCGGGCTCGTCCGCAGCAGTCGCTGCCGGACAAGTGCCCGCTTTCTGGAGCTCCAGCGACGCTGGGCAGCAGACCCCGTAGTCGTTGCCTGGAAAACGCGGCGGTGCTTTTTGAAAAACCAGTCTTTGCTGTTGCATGAATGGGCAGGCTCGCCCGGGGTATCACGGCCTCACAGACGACCGCTGTGAAGTGTTATACTTCTGCGTTTTACCTGGTGAGGAACGTAACCGGGATTTACTGTATTAAAAGGTGTCAACGCATTTGCAACCATACGAATATTACAGTTGTCCATGGGTAACGGTGACGGCTATCCCTTAATATCAGGCTGACCGCCATTTCATTTACAACCTTCTCAAATTATACGTCCCGTTAGAGACGGTCTAGATAGGAATATTCATGTCTATATTTTTGCGTATTTTTAAAGTTATGCGAATGTAAATGTAGATAAAAAGAGACGTATCACAGAAATGTGTAGAAATGTGATATTGCTACTAAGTATGTATTTTTATTTTAAGTACTTATATATTTTAAGTATATAATAAATGCAAAGAAATGTTTCTTCTGTTACCAAAATGGGAGTTCCATTGCAAGAGTTATATCGCATATACAACTGCACAAAGTGGTCAGATATTGCCGTCCATTTGTTTGCTATTGTTGCTCGCGTTAGGTAAGAGTTTGGACAACAATGGGTGATTAGGAATGACTTATTGAGTGTACGTCGGTGACGCAAGAAACTAGCAACACTAATAACGAGAACAATTACAAACATGATCCACAAGGCGTAACTTAACACAACTAACAGTTGAAATTATGCAATTGATTCATATACCTAATAGTCACTGGGTTATAGATATATAAGATAATATTGGTCCGTTTATTTCTCTTTTATACTTACCACCATATGCTAAAAAGAAGTCGGAGAGCATCGATAAGTTTTTTATTTGCTCTATCTTTAGTTTAAGTTTCCCCTAGTTTTGAGTTCTAGTTTTTCTTTCTAGTTAGAGAAACGTTACAGATCATTATGTTACAAATAAACTATCTTTCAATCCTTCTAATCAGTTCGATTTATAAATTAGTTTATTGCAATTATTTAAAAATGTATATATAATACTGTCGAACGGTTAGAATTCGAACCTGAGCTTTCCGGATTATGAGTCCAGACGCTCTAACCACTAAGACAGTTAAGATCCTCTCGTGAAAATCTCGAAAATCATATTGTAAAATCATTCATCCGAGAGTATCAGGAGAAATTCCTCACTTTACAATTCGTGGTATCGGCGCTAGTTTAAAGTTATTTTTATTATGTTAACCGTTAGATTAGATTCACTCACCTGACTCTACAAGACATCTGTATAGTGGAGGGCAATTCGGTTTGCCTGGGTCTGTGCCGCAGAGGAACGGTCGACTAGTCTCCGAAATCAGCAGCGGTTCTCCAGCTGGGCAGATGTTCTGAAGGCTTCTTCCTCTTTTACCTGCAGGAAAATAAAAAGGACCGACATCATAATAACTCTCCTTGTGTAACTTCTTTAAGATTAGCAGTCAGTAATGAATTTGGAGAGCAACTCGGAGAGATAAACTGCAGTATACGAATAATAGTATAATCCATCAAGAATCCGACTGTAGATCTGTTTTAGAAGTTGTTACATAGATTGATCAGAATGTTTCAGTGTTTAGTACGAATATTAATAGACAAATAAAATGTAACACAATTTTAAGTGCAACATTCTATTTTTCGTAAATTAGATAATTATAGCAGAAGACTACTAACCTAACGGCTATGGTCACTTCTTTAACGCGTTTTCATCTCCTGTGTTCTTTCTTTATGTTAAAATTTGTCGAGCGAACAGGCGGTTCACCAGATCTTAAATGAATACCGCCGACAATGGACATCTGCAACACCCGATGGCTTGCTGATTGCTCACTCACCAGACGAAACGCAAAAGTTTTATACTTTCACTTCGCGCCCATCTTCTGTGAGGCGGTTGTGCTCTGTTGCACGAACGAGCCTGCCCGTTCGTGCAATAGCAGAAGTTGTTGCATGGCCCTAACACACTTAAGTTAGTTCTGCATTGTTACTTATCTAAGAAAACGATGGACTAAAGAATGATCTCGTAGCTGATTCATTTGCATCTAATTTGAAACATTAAGGAAACCAAATATTAAACGATTCTGATGTCACTCACACGTGGGGATGGGTGGGCACGGTGGCTTGAGGCAGGCGGCCTCCTCCAGTTGGCAAGAGAGCTGCCCCGGGCAGGTGACAGAGGAGCAGGGGTCGCGGCAGCGGCACAGAGGGCAGCCGCGCTCGTCCAGCTCGAAGCCGAGCGGGCACAGCATACGGCAGGTGTGCGCGGCGCAAGGGGCACTGCGCGTGCAGTTCACCAGACTAGCCGCCGGTGCACGTGTACCAGGAACCTATTTTTAACAAGCCATGCTCTTATTGCCGATAGAGCGGGAGAGAAATGTCTTCTTATCCTCTCCTTCTGCTCTGATGAACGTTACCGCAACAATAGGGCAGCTAGTGTCAACGCGGTCATCATAAGTGCTGTATCCGGATCAGTTGTCTTTGGATTGTTTGAACATTGGTTCCGTCCGAAGACCGACCTGTGGTCACTTTTCAGTACTGGTACAATTTTAACTGAGTTGATTGTAGTTTTAAGCGTGAGATCGGCAGATCGAGAAAGTCTGCATATATAAGAAACAATAGAATATTCTATTGGGAAAACTAGACCAAGCCCTTTTTTTGTGGAGAAAAGGGGCAAAGTGGAGGCTCACCTGATGGTAAGTGATTACCGCCGCCCATGAATATATAGCCACCCCTTATACTCTTATAACACAGAAGGTCTCCTTCCAGCCGATTATACATACAATGGAGTCTGTTAGTTTACTTAATGATAAAACGTTTGGATAATCTATGATGGTACCTCAAAGCCGGCAGCGTCAACACACCAGCAAGCGCTGACGATCTCGTTATCGCACTGCACCTCCTCGAACTCCCCGTCGGACAATCTGCAGCGTGGCGTCCGCACACTGGGCACAGCACCCCTACCGCTGCGGCTGTTTTCCGCCGCCAGAGCCCGTGATATACGCTCCGTCGATATCTTCAAGTTCTCACAACCTGTGAGCAATGTATAATAAAATTGGACCGTGGCAGGGCCACGCAACAGTTTTCAGTGGTTTCAAACAGTTTCAGACGAGCACACAGAAAACCGGCGTGAAGTGGAAGTGTATAGCACTTCTGCGTTTCGTCTGGTGAGTGAGGAAGGCGGGCCCACTTTATCATAAGGTGGCAACGCATCTCACGCGGGTGTTGAAAATGCCAATGGGCGATGATTATCACTTAAGATCAGGTGATCCGCCAGCTCGTTTGCCAGCTTCTTCAATAATCGTAGATTATGAATAGGTACGCCTCGCGACTGTCTCTCGTAAAAGCGATTATTAGCGATATTTTTTTTTTATGTGAAAAGTTGCCAAGCGAGCAGACGGTTCACCTGATGTTAAGTCAATACCGCCGTTGGACATTTGTCACACTAGAGGGTTTTAGATGCGTTGACAACCTTTTGAAAAGTGGGCTCCGGCCACCTCACTCACCAGACGAAACGCGAAAATATTATACTTCCACTTCACGCCGGTCTTCTGTGAGGTCGTGGTGGTCGAGGTACTTACCCGGACGGACCTGCCCATTCGTGCAACAACCGCGGCTGCTGCATGGCTCTGCCACCGTTGTGGTAGAGCCATGCAGCAGCTCTACCACCGCGATATATTATGGAATATTAAAAAAAATATAACACTATGATTTATATCATTGTAGGGTGTAAAATATATGCAAGACCATTTTAGACCACTTTCATAAAATATTTCTCGTAAAAAATGACGAGGTCGTAATTATATTTGGCTTTGCTATACCTACTACACAAATACTCGATCTAGCCTTAATTGAATTTTATTTGAATTACTCCCCACAAATGTACGTATTACAGATATCTAAGAGGTGAAAAAAAAATTATCCGTAAATATATTTGCTTTACTCGTGCAAGCACGTGAAATTATTAAAAAGCACTTAGAAAAAGTTTCCCGAACTCACAGAAAAACTTTTTCGTTATCGAAGTTAAAGTGGCAATTTAGTTCCTACTTTAAGGCCATTAAGCAAACTGTTAGTCAAAAACTTAAAACTATTTTATACCAAAACCGCAATATTAAAGCAAAGCATATTTTCCCACTATGATAACAACCAATCTTAAATACGATATTCTTATAATCACCAGTGAAAATTGCATATTAAATAGAAGAGTTCTGAATTTAATCAGTGATGATTGTATAAATGTATGAGTTTTATTCTATTAAAACTGAGTTTCGTTTTAAACCAATGTAATTATTAGTGGCCATGGCTTAATTGGAGCTTTGCCAGTGTGGAAAGCGATACTATTCGCACATAAAGCCTGCCATAACAGACACGTTTGGTCCACCATAAAGTCCACATTAACGAGCACGAAATTAGCGTTCGCTGGCTGTTTCATTCATCAGAGACCTTAATTTTTTAATGAGAAAGGATTTCACAATGATCTCATATTTATTATGCCTTTTGTTTACTAGGTGGCAAACTTCACTGAGGTAGGGCTACGTGGCTTCAGCTGTTGCAAGAATAGGCAGGCTGGTCCGGGGATGTACCGTGGCCTCAGAGTAGACGAATGAAGTGGCAATATTATACTTACGCCGAGGCCCACTTTTTAATTTTTGGCAACGCATCTTAAACCTTCCAGGTGCTGTAAGTGTGTATAGACAACGGTAGCCATTTAAAATCAGGTGAACCACCTGCTCCTTTGACAATTAGTCATATAAAAAACGAGCAACTCACATAATGGTAAGTAATCGCCGCTGCCCTGAGATATATGAGACACAATAGAGCTAAAGTATACCCTGTCTGTCGCAGGAGGCGAAATGAGGTGAGGTCCTAACTGAACCCGACACTAGACCAGTTCGTGTTGCTACGAAGCATCCAGCGAATAGCCAGCAGATTAATCCTTCCCCGAAGCGTGTTTATATTGCGATGGAGAGTAGCGGTAGGATTAACCACGTATCAAGAGTAGCGGTTGCTACGGGCCTTGCACCAAAGGGAGCCCGCATTTTTAAACCCCCTCACATCCGCCTTAATTTTATGAGTAAAACTTATTAAATGAGTAAGAGTATTGAATTGTTATTTTACCAATATATAGTTAAGAACACAGAGCAGTTCAAGAGCTGTTTGAAAGAATTTGCTACGGGCCCCAAGCTTGCTTAATCCGGCACTGAACCGGGTATCGGTCGGACGAAACATTAAATCACTCACCAGTGAACAGTGGATCGACGCAGGCTCGGCCGCATACGGTGTTGCAGCAGATCTGCTCGCCGCACTCGTCGTCCGTGTTGCAGGGGGCCGCGCGCGCTGGGCACGGGACTTCCTCTGCCGGACACCTCCCTCTCAGCTCGGCGTTCGCTGTTGAAGCAATAAAAGAGGTATTGTTGGTTTAATAAAGGAGCTGCCTGTTCATATATCTCGAACTGCTTGGCGGAAATCTCCCGCGAAAAGGTTTGCAGCAGCCAGGCGGCTCCTATGGGCACGACTAGGTCGTATCCTCCGCTTTATTAGTTACACATTATTTAAGTTTGTATGTTTCAAGCTTTCCTTCACTGATAAATTTTGGTTTAATGTCATATTTTTTTTCAAATTTCTTGTCTTTGCTTCAAATACAATTCTAGTTAGCTGAGACGCCTGTAGAGACGATTATTATATTATTATTATATTGATACAGACAATGAGACAGCGAATTTAGTGCCCTCCGTGATTATTAGGACTTTGGAAAAGTATTAAAATAAGTCACAAAAGTCACAAGTTTGTTTAATTTCACTCGCGCAATATAATTTTACACGAAAGAGCAAAAAGAAATCTGTGTGTTAAGAATAATATTCATAGTAGATGGCGGTTCGCTGTATCTTTCTGAGAATCCGACAAATGCATACTTAATTACATTTAGTCCTGGTTCAAATTCCAGTGTATGAAAAAATAAATTTATAACGAAACTGAATGGATACAAAAACAAGTGCGAGTCGGTCTCGCGCGCGAAGGGTTCCGTACCATTATCTACAAAAACGGCAAAAAAATCATGTCTGTTGCATGAAAGCACCACTTTAATATTTTTTATTCCGTTTTTGAGTATTTTTGTTATAGCGGAATCAGAAATACATCATCTGAGAAAATTTCAACTGTCTAACTATCACGGTTCATGAGATAGATCACGGTTCACAACCTGATAACAGGGAGTCTTAGTAATAGGGTCCCGTTTTACCCTTTGGGCACTGAATCCTAAAAAATAAGGGACGAAGAAGCAAAATGTAATAAGTATTGTTTAAATTCATGGCCTCGGAGGGACCGGCATATTTTACGTTCAAATTTTATTTATATACTTTAGCGTCAAGTACTATATGCACAGTGGGTGTACTTGAATTATTTCAGGCACTATAATTACACTTAAACTGGTCCTTTCTTATCCGTGCTCTACACAAGTACAGGCGCATAATTAGATGGACATTAAGGGTAATAACGAAGATTATAATTCGTAATGAGAAAAGAGACGTTTCGAACCCTCTACGGCGTCGGGAATTGAAATTAAATATAAACGCGATAAGTACGTAATAAAATAGTTTAAATTATTGGGTGTAATCGCGTAAATATGTACAATAAATTATCATCGAAATGAGTAAGTTAAGCATGTAGGGGAAACTTGAAATTTAGAACCAAGATTAAAGACTACGAATTTGTTGCTCGGTGAGATGCGGTCGGAACAAGTGAGCAAAGGTGGCTCTTACAACGATGCTAATTAGTATCAGGGTAATATGAAGGAACTAAGAGGCGCTTTTTATGTGAAAAGTTGTGAAGCGAGCAGATTATGTGATGTTAAGTGATTATCGCTGCCCATGGACACCTGCAACACATGAGGGGGTTTGATGCGAGTACGTTTTGTGTGAAATAAAAATAAAATAACATACAACCCTTAAAAAGTGGATCCCGGTTATCTCGCTCAACATACGAAGCTTAAAAGTATAATTCTTTCACTTCACGCCGGTTTTCTAGGGGCCGTGGCACCCCAGATGAGCCTGGCCATTCGTACAGGAGTAGAAGCTGCGTGGAACTACCATGAAGTGGTCTTTCCTCAGATAAGTAAGGTAACTGGTCACACTTTTAAAGTTTGACAACGCAATGGACGCTGCCACACCTGGAGCGATATTCACTTCACATTTAACATGTAACTTAGCCATTTGCTCGTTTGACATCATCTCACATAGAAAATGCAATACTGGTGGTATACAATAATTAAATCATTACGATAACAATCATGACGTCTTCATACTCACCATATTGCAGGAGCAATGCGCAAACGCAGAGCAGCGCCGCCCTCACCGCAAGCGTCGACATAGCAGCATTACCTTTGTTCGTACTGGAACAAATGAAATTAAATATTAGTGTTAGACTGCGAGGTCTTGCTACACACATTGCTTATTTCATCATTCGTCATTCAAAGACAGGCTTATATTATATAACGTCAATAAATATCAAGTACCCGGAGGACCGAGCTTTGCTCGGTTTTTTTTTTTTTTTTTTTTTGGTTAATCGTGTATTTTGTAAATTACATTTAGATACAAATTACTGAGTAACGAAATATGCATAATATTTTTCGATCTTACCGACGTAATAATAAGAAAATATGAACTGATGTTTTTCACAAAAGAAAGAACTTTAAAAAAAAGGGAAAAGAATAACAAAATCGACAAAAAATTAAAAATAAAGAAAGCAATGGTCTGGAATCGAAAAAAAAGTAAAAAAATAAATGTGTAAATGATCGTGACGCGAACCACGGCCGTCTGTTTTGGGGTCGCCCGATTACCGACCGAGCTATTTTGACATTTTCTTTTGCGGCGAAATTTACCGTCATATTCGAATTATATTTTTCCTTCCCTGAAAACAGGGATAAAAGGACATTTTCTAAAAATGAAACCTAGCTAGATCGATTTTTCGCCCCCGAATCTATGCACATACTAAATTTCATGACAATCGCTGGAGCCGTTTCCGAGATTCCGATTATATATATATATATATACAAGAATTGCGTTCGGATTCCCACAGCGGCGACAATCTTTTCGCACTTTTTCTACATATTTTAATGTTCAATCAAAATTTTAAAGTGCAAAGATTAGCACTATGGGTTCGGTTCACCGTCAGCGAAAAATTCGCCTAAAATATTATTTCAGTTTTCTCTTCAGTAAATTTTTATCGAATAAGGAATGATCCTTCTGATAATAAACTAATTTTTAACTATTAAGCCAATATTAAAAAATGTTTTCGAGTTTACAAAATGAAATGAAATGTTTTTCGTATTAATTATATGGATGATTATTTATAATTTATAAATTACGACATAACTTTTCACCATTAAGATTGGTCTTAATGGTGACAAGTTAATTACAGTTTATATGACGAAGTAATGTATAATTTCAAATTGTTCAATTCTTTAAACTATCATTATTTACTTTCAATTGCGGTCTGAAATTGGGTCAGCAAATGATTTCAAAAAGTAGTTGCGCGTGGTTGAAAATTGCTTGAAAAGATTCTTTCTCTCTGGAGGACTGCCAACCATCATCGTGGTGCCAATGGCATTTGGTCTAATACCGCATTGTATGGTGATGGAAATCGCCAGGAAATATAAATTAGAACTATTTCCCCGAACACCGCTTTCATAAAATTTCAGGCTATGGGATGGTATTGTCACTTTTTCTGGTAATAAGAATTGAATCCGTGTACTTGTCATTTCTACCAAAATCGATTTTTATGTAAGATAAAATAATACTTCGTATTGGAATTTAATAAATCGTATTGGAACGTTACATAATTTTTTAATTAGGTATTCAGCGTATATTTTTTTCAGAATTTAACTTTAAAAGTAATAGATTTGTTCACCACAAGGCCGTGCCTAATAAGTTTCTGCTTCAACATCTGTTACGAACAATGACTCACGTCGCAAGCCATTAACGAATATAGTTATTGAATACACATAATGAATATTCAATGTAATACCAGCATCCTGTATTGTGTACTGTCTTTTATTATATCAGACAATACTGCATTTGCTCAAGACAATTTTACATTGCATTCGTTACCGCACTATCGTTAAATGTTTGAAGGCTGCTCTACATTTTTTGATATTGTTCCGGTAACCATAATAAAGGATGAAGTAATCCTTAATAGAGAATTACAAAAGCAAATTAAACAAAGGACAAACATCTGTACGGCATACATTTTCCAGCTGGAAATCGAACCTACTACCAAGCGCTAAGTTATAGTGGAAGTTTGTCGCTTAGCAACTGCACCAATGAAGTCTTGTTTGTCTTTCATAACGACGTTACGTACACAATTTAAAATACATATTATTTTTTAATCTATTAAAGTATTCTTATTGATTATATTTTAACATTTAATTACATATTTTATTCAAATATATAACGAGATAGATTGCAGTGCTCCTTTTAGTTAACAACTACGCATGTAATGTATATTCAGTATTTGATTCTACAAGTAGATATATAAGTAGATATGTAAGTAGTTATTACTATGATATCATTAATCATCGACGATACGACGGCACTAAGGAAGTTTCGCGTTCCGACATTATTGACAAAACTTTGCCAAATCGTGGTGACTTAGGTTAATAGCTTGCCAGCATTGGTGGTATTCTGTGGAGTCATTGTATCAAGAGTTCTTGTACAGCGTGTCTTTACAATCACGACAATAAATGAACACACATATAGAGGATAACTTTTTAAAATTGTATTTAACATTTACATTCATTATACATCAATATTTACAAAGTTATAAAATTTTCCAAAACAAAGAATTTTAGAACACTCTTACGTATAAAACTGTAACGTAAAGTTCATTTGTAAAGGTCACAAAGCATATGAATGGGTTGAATGAATTTAAAAGACACAAAACATACTGTTAGAAGGAGAGACTTGTAATGCGACGCTGTGGCAACGAATGAAAGTCTCTGCATGTATGAATCAGTCAGTTGTAGTTTTATAGGTTCTTTTCTTTAGTTAGTAGTTTTATAGGTTCTTTTATTTTCTAGGTTGTTTCTTTTTTACTTGATTAGTTTGTTTGAAATATATTTTTTTTAATTATGGATTTTTATAACGATAATATTTTTTTATGATTATTGGCAAGTAGTGTTAGACGTGTGTTCATTTATTGTCGCGATGGTAACGACACGCTGTATATAAAAAAAATTAAAGCACAGAATCTTGTAGATGATTTAATTGATGCGGTGATTCGAAATCAATCGGAGATATTGTTCCGGATCTGAGTAGAGCCATTATTTGTTTACTTTACTCTTACTTTCAAATCGTGTATGTTTCATATTGACACCAGGCAAAACTCAGTGAAGAACACGTATATGATTAGGGTATATGTACTAAGTCATATACGTGGTTGTACTAAATACGCATCAAACTTTTCAGGAGATTTCGTTTAATTACATACCAGTTAAAGCTTGGCCTTACCTCACTGATGGTAAAGAACATAGTCTTAGTTAACAAATGCTTAAATGCTTTCTCGTTTGTTCAGATAAACGAAGTACAACGGCAGTTGAAAAACTGTTAAAGTGATGACTTTTTAGAAAAAAGTTACATAAGATTAACTCCGCTCGTTGGCAACGAAGTATTCTCGCTTCTTTTGTTCCGTCTTACTTTCCTTTCTAATTTATCAGCGACGCCATGCTTTCGTCGTTACTTTAACTAACTATCAACTGTTTGCGTAACTGTTTTTCATAAAATTGTTTATTGTTTACTTTTTGGCGAAAACACGATGCAGCAAGTTTTATAGCTTTATTTGTGTATAGGCACTAAATATTTCTTTATACATCTGGTCTTGAAACGCGCTTAGGAAATTTCCATTGTTGCAAACCGTGAAAGAAAGTATCAGTTTTCTCCTGCCATTACGATATTTGATTTATCACTCGGGCCGTGTCTACCTCTTATTTTTTTCTCGCTAAGAAGTTTTTCGTTTCAGCACACTATACTATAATGTTACAGTTGTGTTGCCTGATAATCATTTTAAGGATCGAACAATTTTCAATTATTAACTGTTATTAAACTGTGATCTTTGTAGAGACAAATTGACTCGAAATTAATTCGTTATAAATAATCCATTGAAGACTTTTTTTAATATTCACTTGATAATTATCTTGTTATCCTAGTCCTAACTATTGAACCATTAAAATCCTGACGTAATTCCTCAAACTCCTGATGTATAAACAAAACCTCTATACAAATTTTAATAGACCCGCTAACGAAACAATCTTTTAATGATATAGTGTGATTTGAGTTTAAATCAATGCTTGATAGCAATAGTAGTTGCAGAATATGATAAACTTTACTATTCTTTTAAATTGCTTTACGTCTTCGTGATTTTTTTGTAATAAAAAATAAGCTACTGTCATGACATTAAAAATGTAGTAAAAACCCAAAAAATCTAGGAGACGTGCAGTAATCAGTACAAAGATCCGAAACCTTCAGAAGTAGTTTAATTTACTTTCCGAATATTGTTTCTAAATGTATAAATAAACAAGTCAAAGTAAATATGTAAATATCTGTGCACAAACAGAAATTCAATAATAAATTATAAAATTTGTTATTACCTATATAATTTGCCTACCCCATATAAGATAAAGTACCTGGAGGACCGAGCTTTGCTCGGTTTGTTTTTTTTGGTAAATCGTGTATTTTGAAAATTACATTTAGATACAAATTACTAAGTAATGAAATATGCATAATATGTTTTGATCTTACCGACGTAATAATAAGAAAATATGAACTGGTGTTTTTCACAAAAGAAAGAACTTTGAAAAAAAAGGGAAAAAAATAACAAAATAACAAATCGGGAACGTCGGGAACTAAAATTAAAAATAAACGCGATAAATCCGTAAAATTAGTTTCATTTAAAATAACAAATCGACAAAAAATAAAAGATAAAGAAAACAATGATCTGGAATCGAAAAAAAAGTGTGTAAATGATCGTGATACGAACCACGGCCTTCTGTTTCGTGGCTTTTTGTTAGCGGCCGCCCGATTACCGACTGAGCTATTATAACATTTTTATTTTCGGTGAAATTTACCGTCGTATTCGAATAATATTTTTCATTCCCTGAAAACTGGGATAAAACGACATTTTATAAAAATGAAACCTAGTCAGATCGATTTTTCGCCCCCGAATCTACGCACATACTAAATTTCATTAAAATCGCTGGAGCTGTATCCGAGATTCCAATTATATATATATACATATATATATATACAAGAATTGCTCGTTTAAAGGATAAGAGATAAGAGGCATATAACATGCTTTGTATATTGTAATTTGAAATT